AAACGGCTTCGCTGACGTGTTTGCTGCATGTGAGATGAATGTCGAAGCCATGTGCAGCGTACCGTAGCCAGTACGAAGACCAATTGTGTCGCAAAAATGCGACCAATGGTGCTGTTGCGATTGGCATGCCTGCTGTGCGGTTATGCACTGAATGTGGTGTAGATTGAATGTGTTTGGGGAGGTTGAGGCCAAAAAGCTGCCTGTTGTCCCAATGCTCCGGTGTTTGAACAAAGTCGTTTGGTATCTGGGGATTTGCAGGCGTGGGATTGGGGTGTTGCTGTTGTTGGGTTGCGACGGTGGCTTGAGGTAATGTATGTGACGAAATGCTGGGGTTTCGAGTCGTCATCGGAGATGGACTCACAAATGTGTGTTGGGGAGTGGCAGGTGTGGGGGTTGGCAGTGTGGTGGGCGGAATTGGTCCGGGAAACTGTTGGGGTGGGGGAGGGGGTGGAGGGAAAGGTGGGAACGTGTTGTTGTGGCTGTACGTGTGAGCTGAACCCCAAGTAGTCGGGATTGGTGATGAGGTGTGCGGTGAGATGTTGTGGATCCCTGGTGGTGGGGAGATCGGGTGCAATGGGGTACTGCTGGTCGAGGTTGTTTGTCGCTGCACTGTACTGATTGCTGTACCGATGATGCCTGTTGGCATTGTTGTATGCCACTGAGGCTGTGTCGGCTTGTACATGGTTGCACAGTGGGGCACTACAGTTGCCTGTGACTGCAAAAGCTGCACATGGAACATGCATGATCAACCTGGTTGGCTTGAGCGTCAACATCAACTTGTGCGAGGCATCCAGCATGCAGCTGCATCGAGTCTTCTTTGGCTCAAAAGCGAGGTCGGAGCAAATGCCTGATTGCAAACGACTATGTGTACAGGGATTCAGGCCTGGAAGAAAAAGTACTAGAGAGTTACAGGAAGACACAGAAGAAGAAATCAACATCACTGAATGAGGCCGAATCCAACGATGCTGAAGTGCCCGGAGTGGAATCCCCACTTCTCCGGGGTCCGCACAACACCCTTTCGCCCCACGATGAAGGCTTCTCTGTACATGTCCCGATACGTCATCTTGTAATGCTGATACTTAGTCCGTATTGTCCCGATGACGATCACTCCCTGTTGGCCCTTGGGCCGCCGCGTACATTGATCGGTAACTATATGTACCGTGCTTTCCGACACATCTCCTGGGGTCGCATTCCCGTATATGACGCAAGAGGGAATGGGTGGATAGGACTTGTCGTCGAAGCAATGGCTGACAGAACTTGGGCGGACCAAGTCCTCACGCATTATGCGTGCGGCACTTGCAATGCTCGTGCCGTGTCCGGCGGTGTAGATGTATGTTTCCCCTGGTGGGTCAGTGGCACGAGTGCCGAATGCTCTGCGAGTCTCACCAGCCCACGGGATGAATAACATAGTATGCACGCCGTCCGATATTGGCGTCAGCGTTGCTCCCAATTCGTTGCACGCTGAGCGCGTGCCCGACTGTAATACGGCATGCGCGAATTCGGCTAAAGTCTCCTGCCTGAAATCGCTGTCAGCAGCTATCTCGCCCAAAGTTTTGGCGAGTTTGTGCGCTTCCTCCAAGTCGACAGCGTGGGGTGTCGGCTTTTCATGATCATAAAGCTCAGAGAAAGGCGCCACATCAATCTGTGGTGGTCTGCTCTGTTTGCCCAGTTGTTCGAGGGTTGGCTGACCCGATGGGGCAGCAGTTGTGGATGCATCGAAAGTCGGAGCAGGTGTCCGAACAGAGCTTGGGGGATTGTGCCGAAGCTGTTGGCGCGAGGATGTGCCCTGGCTTGTTGGGGGCTGCTGTTGTCCGGCTTGGCTGCCCTTGATGCGGAGGGCGATGCGCTGAACCTGCGAAGCCAATGTTTTTTGTGGGACCTTGGGTGGGGTAGGTGGCCTTTGACGTGGCTGTGTGGCTCTGTAATGCCACTTGTTGGCATCATCATCACGCACTGTAGAATAGCTGCGGAGCACAACCGAGGTCCGAGGAGGTGTCGATGAAGCTCGCCTGGTGTCCCTGCGAGAACGGCTTCTGCGAGTGTCGCGGGATCGGTGGTGTCTGCGTCGGCGGTGCTGTCTGCCGCTGCTTGCAGGTCGTGCTCGGCTGCGCGTGTGTCGACGGCGTCTAGTGCTCACGGTGCGAGTTCTGCTGCGTGTGGGTGAATGCCGTCGTCTGCGTGGCAGCGGAGGGTGATGGGGAGAAGTACGGGCTGCGAGCTGGTCAGTGTCTGCCGATCCCGTATCTGGGGGTGGTTGTGCGGGTGGCACTGTATTGACGGAAGGGGTGTTGGCTGTGTTTGTTGGTTGTTGTTGGGGCGTCATTGCCGGTGTCTGCGGGGCAGTGTGTGCAGCATCGGCAGTGGGAACACTGGTGGGGTGTGGTTGTGGAGCTTGTTGGATTGTTGTTGGCGGCGGTATGTGGGATTGTTGAATGGGTTGTGTGGGAGGGATGTTGCAAGGTGCAAGTTGGGGTTGTGGGGCAGGTGGTGTAAAAGGAAAGTTGAATGTGGTAGGTTGGGCCTGATGCTGTGCCGAAGCAGATGGGTTCATGGGAAAAGCTGTTGGATGGGTAGGCAAAAGAGCAGGGTTCATGAACGGTGTGGGGTGTTGTGACATGAATTGCTGGGGTGGAGGTTGTTGTGGCATCTGGGGTTGTGGTGTGCTGAGATGTGTGTAGATCGTCGGATGCTGTGGGATAGGAGCGGTGTGTCCACACGGCATCATGGGGAAGCCGTGCGTTTGCTCAAGAGGAATCGTAGTGGGTTGTGTCGGCAGTGTGGGCTGCTGATTGGCAGCAATGCCGGTTGGCATCATTGCTGGGTAGCTTTGAGACTGCGGTACCCAGGTGTTCTGGTGAAATTGATTAAGCACCGGTCGGGCTGTTGGTGCATATGGTGTTGCTGGTGGCTGCGCGGCAAAATAATCCGGCCACATAGCTACAACGAAGCGGGTGAAACAAACACAGTTGCACAAGCAAAGTGCAGGCTGTCCTGATTGTCCCTGCTGGACTGATTTGAGAGGTCGTAGACGGAGAGAAGGAAGAAGGCCGAGTACTCTCCGGAGAGAGCGCTGCTTCACTTGCTGTAGACATCTTTACCACGTCTGCACTCATGTCAGATGCACATGCCCTTGCAGTCCCTGAGGAATAAAGAAGCGATAAAATACGGGGCAGACTAGAGAGGTAGCACCTGCTCACTAGACGCACTTTACTGCATTAGCCGTCCCTTACTGCACCTGCACTCATGTCAGACTCACATGCAAGCATCAGAGAGAGAGATAAAGTAGCATCTGGAGAATCTGAACGATCTGAACGAAGGCTGAACACCCGGTTCATCACCGGTCTCCCCGGAGGGTCACCACGGCGCCTTGACGGAAAGCCGTTGCTCTGGAGTCTCATAGACCCACGCTGATCACACTGATGGATTCGGCCAAGAGTACGAGTGCAAGAGGAAAAAGAGAGAGGCATGTTGTTCATGTTGCAAAAGCTTGTCAGATTGTGGCAACCGTACAACTTGTTTGTTGTCGAATCAACCGCCAAAAGTGGCAACTGAAAACTCTCTAATCTTGGCACAGGGGCCTTCTAATCGGGCTGGCACAGGGGCCCCAGCTCAATTTTGTGAAGGTACAAGGTTTGGCGTCCCAAACCTCTTCCCATGGTGTTGCTAGCTTCGTTGGCCAGCGTCACAACACCATGGGCTGGCCCCCTGCAACATTTGATTCGGTAAATGTCAAATGTCTGATTGAGTTGCAAAGCAAAAATTGCAAACAGTGTAGGAGTGACCCTCTGCTCCCATGTGCTAGGGAGGTTCACACACACACACACACACACACACACACACACACACACACACACACACACACACACACACACACACACACAAACACAACCACACACACACACACACACACACACACACACACACACACACACACACACACACACACACACACACACACACACACACACAACCACACACACAGACACAACCACACACACACACAGACACACACAACCACACACACACACAACCACACACACACACACACAACCACACACACAACCACACACACACACACAACCACACACACGCAACCACACACACACACACAACCGCACACACACACACACACACAACCACACACACACACAACCACACACACACACACACAACCACACACACACACAACCACACACACACAACCACACACACACACAATCACACACACACACACACACCCACACACACACACACAACCACACACACACACACAACCACACACACACACACACCCACACACACACACACACATACACACACCACACACACACACCACACACACACACACATACACACATACACACATGCACACATACACACATATACATACAAATCTACAAATACACAATATGGACGGACCATAGATACAATTTAAGATAAGATGCAAGAACAGAATATGATGCAATCTAGCAACTGTGTGAAATATGTTCAACGCTGATAAAGTATGGTTCAGGATGGTGTAATATGAGTTAGTGTGATATCAAATGATGTAAAGCGATGCAACATGATATAATTTCTTAGGTTATGCCATAATGTCATATCATTAATTCACTGAATGCAGTACCATTTAATGTCATATAATATCATGCCATACTGCATCTTATTTTCTCATATCTATCACACCTTATGCTATCACACATTATCTTCATAGAATGTTGTACGTTATCATATACATTCATATATATAGATATATAGATATATAGATATATAGATATATAGATATATAGATATATAGATATATAGATATATAGATATATAGATATATAGATACATATATTCATCATAAGGAAAGAAGGCATGAACTTTCTATGCAATGCTTGGGATTCTTGACATTCGCCATGTGTTGCCGCTCATAATTTCAGGCTGAGCTTCGTGATCACCCCAGGCCAGAACTCTTGACTTGCCATTGACTCTTCGCAAGTCTTGGCATGCGCACTCGGATGTTTCCACCCGGCTTTGTGACAGACTCTACGAACCGCCGCGTGCCAACTGCAGACGTCACCGCGGCCAAGGCCGCCGGATTCGGTCGATCCCGCTTGTTTTGTCTTACTGAGCCGGCAGGTCGCTGCCCCTGCAGCAGAGACAGGCCGGAGCTCCAAAGCACGGTCGCGAGTCGCAGGCACTGTCAGATCCCTGCCTGAAGGCAGCCCCTTCACTGTGGGCGCAGCGGCAGCCACCGCCGCGGGTGCCGTGGCGGCGTCCACCCGACGCAAGACCCGAGCGAGCAGAGCAGGGGCCCTGACAGGGCAGGCGGCGGCAGGTTTCAGGCCCACGCCGTCCAACCTTTCCGTTCTCAGGTCGCTGCCCGGGCCGAAGTGGGACCTGGCGAGAAGGTCGTGGGCATCGACCTGGGCACCACCAACTCCGCAGTGGCGGCCATGGAGGACGCTCAATCTGAAAGCTCGTGAGATCATGCATGAGCTGCAACTGCAAAGGGCAAAGGGCTCAGTCTTGCCTAGAGGCCGGCGCCCCCACCATCATCCCCAACGCGGAGGGCGCACGGACCACGCCCAGTGTTGTGGCCTATTCCAAGAGCGGTGAGCTGCTGGTGGGGCAGATCGCCAAGCGCCAGGTGCACGGCCCACTTGTTTGTTGTGTGGGTCCACAGGTGTTGCTCTGAAGTTTCATATTGCTGCAACAAATCGTCTGCGGAGCAGGCCGTTGTGAACCCAGAGAACACCTTCTACTCCGTCAAGCGCTTCGTCGGCCGCCAGCCCAACGAGGTGGGTGAAGAGCTGAAGGAGGTGTCCTACAAGGTGGATTTTGAAGGCCAGAAGGTGAAGATCGACTGCCCGGTCTTGAGCAAGAAGTTCGCGCCGGAGGAGGTCTCTGCACAGGTGCTGCGCAAGCTCAGCGGCGATGCCGGCACTTACTTGAGTGCCACCGTCCAGAAGGCAGGCTGCCTTCGCACGACCGAGTATAAGGAAAGGGCCTGTGCACCTCGTTCGTGTGTCCGTTTCCTGGCTTCTTCACAGGCCGTCGTGACCGTTCCTGCCTATTTCAACGATTCGCAGCGACAGGCACACGCAACGGGACGGAGTGATGATGGAGAGGGTTAGTGTCTTGAGATAGGTTGTGAAGGTCACGTGAGGGCAGGTTCAGGCAGGTTGAGGCTGCTGTTGACATGTCAATCACCACTAGTAGCATCAGTTGAGGCCACGAAGGATGCCGGGAAGATTGCTGGTCTGGACGTGCTGAGAATTGTGAACGAGCCCACCGCTGCCTCCTTGGCATATGGCTTGGAGAAGGCGAACAACGAGACAATTTTGGTCTTCGATCTCGGAGGAGGAACCTTCGACGTCTCCGTGCTGGAGGTCGGCGACGGAGTCTGTGAGGTGCTCGCCACCAACGGCGACACCCACCTGGGCGGCGACGACTTCGACAAGGTCATCGTGGACTGGCTGGCGGAAGACTTCCAGAAGACCGAGGCGGGGCAATGTAGTACTAAGTACGAAAAACTTTGGAGAGTTTGGTGCAGTGACAGTGGGACTCAGTGAGACCCAGACGGCCCAGGGCATCGAGCTCCTCAAGGACAGGCAGGCACTGCAGCGCCTGACGGAGGCTGCAGAGAAGGCCAAGATCGAGCTCTCCGGTGTGCAGGAGGCGCGCCGAGAAGCAGCACGCAGCCTTCACG